CTCCCCTGTTAATTCACCTGGCAGAGAAACTGGCCTGGCTGGGCTGGGTTGGGTTCGGGAGTTCAGCCCCTGCTTGATGTGTGTCCAAATTAATGGCTATGGCTACCTTCTATTTAAAGAGGTGTGTGGCGCCCTCTATTGAACTGAGCAGACCAAAGAAAGCAACCCATTTTCCCCACCCTGCAAAGCAGCACATATACGATGGCCTCCATTTTATTCAGAAAGATCATTTCTTTTCCCCTGGCTTGCTGCTCTTTGTGCTACCCTGGAACTTGCCTTCTGTTTGCTGTGGGGAAGGGAAGTGCATTGTAAGATTTAGCTTCCCCCCTTCACTTGACAGACTGTGCTTGTAAAAAAGATCAGCAGGAGGAAGAAAGGGGAAAGATGCAGAGAATCTCTCTTCTTTGGGGAGAGGCTGGGCCTGGTCTAAAGGCTCTCTCCAACTTGCTTCTGTTTTCAGAGATACTTGAATTTTCAGAGAAGCAGGCAAAAGGAGACAGAGGTTTTCAACATGCAACTGAAGAGAGCAGGAAGAGGGGCTTGCAAGGGGGGTTACTCTACATTGAGCTGCATGCCAAGAGGCTGGAGTGAGGAGTGGGGGCTGCCTAGCAAGTAGTCAGCTATGTCCAGCTGGCTTCTAAATTCACAGGAAAGGGCCTGACAGCTGTTGTCTGATCCCTGTGCCCTGCTTTTCACCTGGCTCTGGTGCCTGTAGGCTGTTTCTCTCTATAAACCACATACTGATACTTTAGAATCTGCCTGGGAGGGGGGGGGGGGGGGTGTTTCTGCTTGCTGTCACTAGGTCTGTTGCTACTCCCTTGCGGTAATCCAAAATCTGGGAGCGTGCAAGGAAAGGGTATGCATGTATGCATGTGAAGCAGTGTGCCCTTTCTTTGCAACGTTAGTGTCTTTACCTTTTCACTACACTTTCTGATGGTGGATGTGAGCTCACTCACTACCATATCCACACACTTCAGACTTGGCTCCTTCAACTTCTGCACCTGCTTTTTCACTATGGCTTCAAAAGCGAGGTCAGGCGTGAAGAGACCCGTTCTGCACAGCAAGGGGCAGGGACGAAAGAAGCAACAAGGAAGAAAGGAAAGCGAAGCAGTGTCAGAGAGAGAGAAAGAAAGAAAACAGGAAGGGAAAG